CCTGAGGCCGGAGGAGCCAGGGCCAAGCTTAGGGCCAGCCTCTGCAATTCAGTGAGACCCTGTCTCCAAAGAAAAAGGTGAAATAAAATGAAGGGCTGAGGATGTAGTTCAGTGATAGACTGACCCTGAGTTAAATCCCCAGTTCTTCCCAAAAAAAAAAAAAAAAAAACAATTTTAATGCATACACTAGAAAAGGAAAAAGACCAGAAACTATCTAGAAGTTAGAAAAAGGGCAACAGAGTGGAGACATCAGCAGATGGTTACAGAAAGAAAGTCTCAATGATTAGTAAACTTTCCAAAATAAGCTCACGAGGATTTCTTAAGGTGCTCACTGAAACAGCAGTGAGTTCCTATTTCATACTCGTCAGATTGGCAGACATTGTAAAACCCCCAACACCAAGTATTAGCAAAGTTATGGGGAAACACTGTGATATTACATGTTGTTAGTGGAGTGAAAATTGTTTTAAACACTTTTGAGACTCAGATAAATTAAAAATTTCAAGACCCCATAGCTTACCACTTCCACATCGCCTTTGAGGTTGCCTTGCACATGTGCATACAGGTGGTGCATCAACACCGTTCTAGCAAAAACATGGGAATGACTTCTTATCCCTGGATTGGGAAACGGGTAATGAAATTGTGGTTATATGGTGGACTGTTATACCTTAGCTGAAACATGTGAGCTAGTTCAATACAGAGGATTTTGAAGGACAAAAGGCAAGTAGGAAAGGTGGATCTTTGGGGGAAAATTTCTCAAATGACAAAATAATTCAAATATCTGTTGGGATGATGCATCTTAGTTCTGTGGAGAGAGGGAGAAATAAGGCTTTGTTTGCATTCTAGAGTTTTAAGGGTTCTAAGTCAAATGTGGTAAAACATAGCCAAGAAATTTTGATATTGTTTGTGTTGTGTATCTCTCATGAATTTCTTTACAGTTGCAGCTTTCAGCCTGTAAAACTTTCAAATGGCAAAGAACATTGAATAAAACAGGCCAAAGGAGATACGGAAGAGTAAGAATTTTGACAGCCAAAAGGCTATGTTGGTATTAGAAACAGGTGATCCCTTTGCAGAACAATCTAAGACAATCAGCCTGGAAACTATTATAACTAGGAAGATAGCCTGGGAAAAAGAAAATAAAATGTATGGGGCAGGCATCCTAATGGCCACCTGCCAGGTTCTCCATTTCCGCCTTCCTGGAGCCTGTGAGTACGTTACTTAGCACAGGAACTAGGTAGGTGTGATTCAGGATGGTGAGATGACAAGACTGGGTGGGACTACCCAGGTGGGCCCAGTGCAAACTGAGGATTCTTATAAAAGGGAGGCAGGAGGACCAGGGTCCATGGTGGGAGGAGTACTGATGGAAGCAAAGATGTAAGGAAGGGAACTGGAGCCCAGGGACAAGGACAGTCTCCGGCACTGGGAGAGGCCAGGCCAGATGCCCACCGAGAGCCTGCAGAAAGGTCCAGCCCCGCTGACACCTGGATTTTAGGGTATTTGACCTCCATAATTATAAGATCATAAATTTTTCCTGTCCTATTCTATTACATTTGTGGTCATTTGTTCCAGCAGGAGATTTAGTACAATATTTGCTGTCTCACAGTTTGCCTATAAGCCTTAAACCATGCAGACAGAAATAACAGAAATAAAACCAATTCCTAATAGTAAGGCAAAATACAAAATAGCTAAGAATGTGCCTGAAAATGAGTGTGAAGATCTGTATGAAGAAACTTAAGGTGAAGTTTTTCCAAATAGATAAGAAGGTATGGAATAGAGACATAGATGGTACGAACAGTCCCAGTATTGTCCAGAGGGTCATTTTATACAAATCATCTGTGGATGCAGGTCTTGCTCCACAAAAGTCCTGTTTGTAAAATGGAACTTACTCAAGTGATTCTAAATTTAATTTAGAAGAGAAAAATAGCTGTGCAATGGAGAAAATTGCCTCCCACACCCAAATGCTGGCTGTTCTTGGTGTCAAAACACATTTAATTCATCATCACCCAGCAGGTGGGATTCGGCTGCAGCAGCAGGCTGATAGGATGGTGGCGGGAAATGAACAGAGCTGGATTTAGATGGGACACCCGGGGAACACTGTCTGTGGAGGTGACTTTTGGGGAGAGACCTGATCCTTGAGAAATGGCAAAGATCACCAGGGAAAAATCATTCCTGGCCCGCTGAGCAACAAGCAACCATCTTGGTGTGGTTTAGGGAGAGCAAGAACTCTTCCTTCAGGAGCCATGGTACCATGGGGGTAAATCATTCTCCATTATTTACCTTCCTGATTTCTCCTAGAGGCTCAGTTTTACTCACTTACCTAGGGAGAGAGCTAGACATTTATTGTTACCTAATTCCTGGCCCCTGGTTTTGGTTCTGTTGACTTTCCAGTGGAACTTGCAGGTAGCCGATTCCAGGTCTAGGTTGGCACTCGGGTGCCATCCATTCTGCCTTGTCCATGCCTCGCTGGGCAGACCTTCTATATGCACTGCATTAGTACCTCCACCCCCACGTACAACTGCTAGCCATTTAGGAATATTCTTCTCAAGTCCGACTCTGAACCTTTTCTGTCCAGAAAGCGGTGAAACCATGTGTTGAGATGGGCAGCCCAGATTCTATCAGAGTATCTGCTCATGTGTTCAGATCAGGTTCGATCTTGTGTTTGCAAAGGTGCAAAGACGGGGTGTCCAGTAAACAGGAGATTTGGGAATGCAGGGTTCCCTGTGCTGCTGTTGTGTGGGTGAGCTACTGAAGATGACAGATCTAGAATTTTATCGTGAAAATTAAGGCGACCATTTCTTGGCATTGTCCACAGCATTATGATTAACTTCCAGCTCTGTGCCATTCATAAAAATTATCTTCTACGACCTAACGAAGTGTATTAGAAAGGCTGGCTAGGAGAGTCAAGGGTGGAACCTAATGATGTTGTTCAGAATAATTGCAAATAGTAATTGGTACTAATTAGTGACTCCCCTGCAGACAGGCACTGCCCCTGTGACTGAAGACCACCCTCGTCTTGAAATCTACAGCTGGGCTCCATCCTCAGCCAGCTCCTTCCACCCACCACCTGGGGCCGGCAGCCATTCGGCAATGCTTCCCACACATGGGGGGGGGGGCTGTCAAGTTCCAGTTAAGTCAGTAACAACAGAAAATGCCGTCTTTCAGCTTCATTAAAACAGAAAGGATTAGGGCCATCCAGAAAGTAAACCAAAAGATTCAGAACATGGACACACAGCTGGCCCTCTGTGACCCTAGATTCCACATCTGTTTATTCAACCAACCACAGATCAAAATACTTTTTAAAAATTGTGTCTGTTTTGCACATACAGACTTTCTTGTTGTTATTCTCTAAACAATACAATATAATAACAATTTCCATAGCACTTACTTTGTATAGGGTATTATAAGTCATCTAGAGATGATCGAAAGTATATGGGAGGATTGTGCCTAATATGGGAGGATTGTGCATGAGTTAGATGCAAAAACTACCCCATTTTATTGAAGGGACTTTACCATCCGAGGACTGTGGTAGCCCAGCTGGTCTCGGAACCAATCCTGGAACAGATACCAGGGAATGACTGCCTTTATTTTAAAGGCATTTTCAGATTGCTGTATTGCATTGATTTTGTTTGACCTAAGGTTCATTTCCTTGTGATCGATTGTCTCACACGAGATTTCCTTACGTGTTAGGCAGTTTTAGTTTGCATGTTTGTCTTGAGTACCTCCTTGTCACTGACCACACCGTACAGGTGTGTACACACACATACATGCACACATGCATGAAGACACATATGCATACATGTGCTCATACATACACACATGAGCACCTACCCCTCCTCTTCTGTCCCTTGTATCTCTTCTGTCCCCTCTGGCCTGTCTTGCCAGCCCAGAGCTCCTACCCTGGTTTTACTGGGGTCTCCACCTTAGAGGGCAGCGTTTCCAGTTCCCCTCTGGGGAATGCACCTCCTGCCCCCTAGCCAGGGCACTTTAAGGCCCTGTCTTCCCTGAAGTATGTGAACCAGGCCTGGCTCCTGCCTGTATCAGACCTGGGCATCATGGAAGCCTCCAGTCCCCTCAACCTTGTCATTTCTGTTCTGTTTACAGGGCAGCCATGATCTGGTTTGGGGGGTTCTGTCTTTTGTCACATATTTTCTTTATATATTATTGTGCCTTTTGCTTCATCGGGTGTGAAATTTACATGATATTGAGCAGCCCTGGTGAGATTCAGGGTTTGGAAAGGGGGACACAGTTGAGCCTCATCACATGCAGATTATGAATTTGCAAGTTCACCTGGTGGCTAAAATGTACTTGTAACCCCGACATCAGTATTCCTGTTCTTGGAGTGTCTCACATAGATACCCAGGCACCTTCCCAGCTGAGGTTGTACCTGTGGCGCTCTGCTTCTCGTGCTGTGAACTTGTTTCCTTTTCTCGGCCTGTTTACTATCATTTGAGTGTGTGTGTGTGTGTGTGTGTGTGTGTGTGTGTGTGTGGTTTTGCACTTTTTGTTGGTGATTTTGCTGCTTAAAGGGCCCCCAGGCATAGTACTGAAGTGCTATGTACTGTGCAAAAGCACAATCAAGCTTCCATGTGCCTCCCAGAGGAAATACGTACGTTAGAGAAGCCTCATTTGCACACAAGTTGCAGGATGTTGTCCTTGAGTTCAGTGTGAGTGAATCGACACTCTGTATTAAAAAAGGAACCTTTAAACAGAAACACGTGTAAAATGAGTTTTGGATCAGTTGATTGACAAAAATGTGGCCAGAGAATCCCAGGAACCTGACCCTGTGTTTCCCCGGCAGCAACAGCTCCTGTTGCCTAAGTCGGTATTCAGTGCGACATCGTGGAATGTAATGTAATTACTGGCGAGAACTGGAATCCACTGTGTGTGTGTATGTGAACAGGAAATGGAAACCTCCCCTCACAAGTAGTTCACGTAGGGGCCCCCAGGGCGCTTCCTTCCATCTCCCACTGATGTGGCTTTTCCGTAACCCCTCTGCTTGGCAGGTTACTTTCTGAATTTTCTAGAGCCAGTCAACAATATCACCATTGTCCAGGGCCAGACAGCGATTCTGCACTGCAAGGTGGCGGGAAACCCACCTCCCAACGTGCGGTGGCTGAAGAACGATGCCCCCGTCGTGCAAGAGCCGAGGCGGATCATTATCCGGAAGACGGAATATGGCTCTCGACTGCGAATCCAAGACCTGGACACAACAGACACTGGCTACTACCAGTGCGTGGCCACCAATGGGGTGAAGACCATTACCGCCACCGGGGTCCTCTACGTTCGGCTGGGTGAGTCGGACAGCAAGGGCATGTTGGTTCGCAGAGAGGAAGGCTCACAGCCACCGAGCGAGAGATGGGTTTGCGATTTGAAACTGCAATACACCAGTCAACAGGAGAGGAAGTCAATAAAGCCATTCCCTAACGCCTTCCCCATTGAGCGCAAACCTGACTTGACCTATTATCCACTGACTAGTAATCACAGGAAGTAGACGCAGATGGAGTGTCCATAAACATGGAGCCCACAAGGTGCAGTCATTCAGTGGAAAGGCCACATCGCAGCAGGTCAGGTGTCCAGGGGGGGCTGACCACACTGCAGATGGCCGGGAGAGTGTCGGACAGGTCTCAGCTCACTTGTCAGTCTGTGCCAAGGTTTTGTAAAACTGTCCGCACCTCCCTGCCCATGCACACCTGGCCCAGGTGGGGCAGGAGGACTGGGAGATGGCAGCTCTGGACTTCTGTGCTTGTCACCCGGAGTGAAGGAACTAAATGGCAAGAGAGAAGGTATCCCATTAGTCATGGTTGTGGGGCGATCCCAGGCTACGCAGGCCCCAGGCCTGTCCTCTAGGCCCACACCACTGCCAGAACAGGCTTTGTGTGTGAAGTTTAGGTGAGGAGCGAGAAGGGACAGCAGCAACTCCGGAAAGAGCCCCCAAAGTAGCCACCTAAGCAGAAAGCACCCCTTTTTGTTTTGTCTTGTTTTTAATGATTTCTGGCATCACAAGGGTGTCCTCATGAGCTGAGCAGAGCCTAAGGCCCGAGGACTACTGGCCACAAATGAGCCCAGGGGCGCCCACCGAGTTTACGGTCGGCATGACTTGAAAGCAGTTGTATTCTGGAGGGTGAAGTATTAATAACCTGGCTTTTTGCTTTATCCTTTTAGGTCCAACACACAGCCCAAATCATAACTTTCAGTAAGTATCTGTTTTCCTCCAACCATTTTCCGATCCTCTGAGGGTTTGGTTATGGAAGAATCTAGGTTTTTCAATCCAACAGACTCCTCCTGTCTTTGCTGAAATTCCAGAAGTTGGCCGGGCAGGACACCAGGATAGCAACATGCTTGTTTAGGTTTGGGAAACCTTGACATTTTCCATGTTTTCGTGTAAAGGAAAAAAATGTCATAAAAAAAGATTGTTAATTGCTTTCAGGGATTTTGACCTTTCGGGACAACTGAATCGGGTATAAACACACACACCAGATTGCCAGGACCTCCTGGTGCACAAGGGTGTTTGCAAGCAGGGGCAGTTCTTACTGTGAAATCCCAGCCTCACCCGTCTGCAGTTTACTTTTTTAATTTGTTGGCAGTGGTGGGGATCCATCCCAGGGCCTGGCACATAGCAGGCATCTCCGTTACCGAGCTACATGCCCAGCCCCTGCAGATGGAGGTTATAAAGAGCAGGGCACTCTCTACTGCCAGGGTCTCAAGCCCACCGTATAAGTGAGGAGGCTGAGGTGCACAGCCAGGCTCCCATCCCCTTAGCCAGCGGCTGACTGAATCTGGCTTTGGATTTGGGCCTCTTTCTTCCAGCACAATGGCTGATCGACTGCCACTGGATCAGGAGTTCTCCTCTGAACTGCAAATGCTGTCGTGATGGACAGGGAGAATCACTCGTTTCATTTTCTGTGTTTGAGGCAAGGAAAGACTCAGTCCCCTTCGTTTCCCATGCAGCCACATTGGACAGCCGTGGCTTCACATTCGTATGTTCTGATCAGTGGCATGAACCCTGTGCTGTCGATGACCTGCTCAGTCTGTGCTGGTTTCTGTTTCCCTGGGGCCGTGTTGCGAGTGCGGGCAGCCCACTTGAGAAGGTCCCTGCTGAAACCTAGTGCTGGAGCGGATCCTAGTGATCGTTCCTACACAGGGTGATCAGGCAGCAGAAGTTGCATCAAGCACATACTGATGGGCTTTGGGGAAAGTACAGGTCATTTAGAAGTTATGACTTTTTCTCTAATTTATGTCTTTACACTTAGATATTTTACAATGGATATATTTTATTTATTATTACAAATATATAGTAGGGACTGGGGATATAGCTCAGTGTAGAGCACTTCTTGCTTAGCACATGCAAGGCTGTGGGTTCAATCCCTAGCATTGCAAAAATAAATAAAAATAGCATACTGTTAAAAATACAAACTGTTATGATTTATGTGCATTATAACAATCTGTAACAAAAATATGTAAATATTTCACTTAGAATTATAAAGCTGATTTATTATATAAATGTGAAATATTTTCATTTATAGATTACATTATACATTTATATAATTAAATATTTGTATGAAATATTTCACTCAACTTTTATATTAATTTCCTTCTCATTTTAAGTTTTGGGTTAAATCAGCACATTCATGTCAATAATCTGGGCATTTGTGGTATGGTGAAGCTTCTTCCCTTCTCAGAGTGGACCAGACTAGGGTGGGTTTTTTTGGGTGGGGGTGGGGGTGGGAGATGGCATATGTAAATGTACCTGGAGAAGTACATCTGCTCATTTCTTTTGACTTTAGTACATAAATGACATATTTATTGAGCAGTAGGTATTCTTAGATATCTTTCCATTTCAATGTATTTTAAATTTCCCTGGTGATTTATTTCCTTCTTTCTGAACTTGTACACACAACATGTGATCATTCCGGTAGTGATGGGCATTTCCAGTGTGCCCACCAACAGTGCGCGGTGATTTCCCTGGCCATGTGCCTTGAGACCCGAGGATGAATTTCTCTAGGACAGATTCTGAAGAGGGAAACACACTGTTCACGTTTCTACATGGTAGTCCTTATCTACAGCTTTGCTTTCTAAGGTTTCATTGCCTTCGGTCAGCTAAAGTCTGAAAATATGAAATGCAAGATTCCATAGGTGAATAATTCATAAGTGTTAAGCCATGTGTCATTCTGAGTAGCATGATGAAATCTCATGCCATCCTGCTCCCTCACCTGGAGTATGAATCATCCCTCTGTCCAGCACCCACCCTGTACCCACCCATTGGTCACTTTAGTTAGCCATCTTGATTATCAGATTGACTGTCATGGTTTCACAGCGCATAGGTTCAAGTCACCCTAATTTTACTTAGCAAGAGCCCCATGGCACAAGAGAAGTATCATTGGCAATTCGGATGTGCCAAAAAGAAGTGTGTCTTTTTTAAGTGAATTGTTGAAATACAGAGAGAGCAAGAAACCACATTCACATAAATTTTATTATAGCATGAAATGGAAGATTGTTATGTTTGTCCTTTTTTATTATTAGTTGTTGTTATTCTTTTACTGTGTCCATTTATAAATAAACTTTATCACAGGTATGTATATGAAAGAAAAAACAGAATATATAGTTTATGGTGCTATCTATAGTTTATCGTACCAAATGAGGATGTGTACATAGCATATGTATGTGCATAATTTTCAAATAAACTCCTTAACCTTTTCCTAAAGCCCTTGCATCATTCAGCTATAACATCAGAGAGTTCTGATCACTGCACTTATTTGCCAGCATTTGGAGTGGTCAGTCTTTATAAGTTTAGCTATTCTCTGGATGTATTTCTCACAGATAAGGGGAGACTACTATAATCAATACAGACAACAACTGTTCACAGGTTACTTTCCTGCATGGCATAAGAAAACATGGTTCTCTTTATCTTCCGTAAGATGATTTCCAAGTTTGTTAATTTTTGCTACTTTGAAGGATGAAATAATGTTATCTTGCCTACTTTATTCTCCATTCCCCCATTACTGAGGCTGAGGCTGAGCCTGTGAATGTGAAGTTCTTGGCACTGATATCTCCCATGTCTCACTTGCCTCATGGTATTTTCCCTTTATGTTGTCTTTTAATGATTTTAAATAATTATTCCTATCTTATTTCTTAGTCATAAAGAAATTAAAACTCTTTTGTTCCTTATAAATAATTTATGGCTTTTTCTTATTATACCTTATTGGAAGAATGCCCCAATCTCCTTGAAATATTCTGACGGTGTTTTGGTTGGAATTGTAATGAATACTATGTAAATTTGGTGAAAACTGAAATCTAAATTGAATTTTCCTATCAAGAACCACTTCAGGTTTTAAAGCATTCTTATTTTCCTAACAATGTATTATGAGATATTTCAAATATATGAAAACAGAAGGAACTTTATACAGAATGTCCATGTACCTGCCAGACATGTCCTAATATCTACATTTTACTCTGCTGACTTTCTCTTTCCACCTACTCCTCCATCCAGACCCTCAGTCCATCTTATTTCTCATTTATTTCACAACGTGTTGCAATTATTGTACCCCTACCCTGAAATAGTTCAGGACAGATATCATTCAGGAGTTTTATATTTGTTCCCTATTCCCATTTCTACTTTTTTAGTTCAAGTTTTCATACAATAGAACATACAGATTTTCAGTATCACCAATAAGAGCTAACAGGCACACAAGCCTCTGCAGTGAACCCCTGTCCCAGTACAGAGCATTGCCGTGCTGGAAACTTCAGCCACGGGACTTCCAAATCACTCCCCTCTCCATGCACCCGCCATACTGTTGATTCATTTATTTTTTCATGGGTGAGTCTTACCTATTCTAGAACTTCACAGAAGCGAATCTTGAAGCCCGTAGCTGTGTCGGCCTGCCTCTTTCACTTAGCACGATGTTTCTGAGATTCACCTACACTGCAGCTGTGACAGCGGGTGATTGCTGTTCATTGCCAAGTAGTTTCCATCTTATGAACGTGCCAGTGGGCGTATCCAACCTCCCATGGAGGGACACCTACACACGTTATTACAGTCTTTGGCTGTGTCATGCAAGATTTTCATGGGCGTGTATTTTCATTTCTGCTAATGTTATCTAGGCATAGAATTGTTGGGTTATGTGCATGATTTTTAAAGAAGTTCCTAGACCTTTTCCTAAAGTCCTTGTACCTCACTTTGTGCTTCTACCAATAGCCTTCAAAGCTCTGGTCACTACATAAAAGAGTAGCTAAACTTCAGAAGACTGACCACCCCAAGTGTCATTTACATTTGGGCCGGTCAGTCTTCTTAAGTTTGGCTACTCTCTTGTGTGGCGGTCCAAGTGATCTTTTATATCACTCTCACATCTTGTAAAACTAATATTTATTAGTAATTTTTTAATGTTCAGATTCAGGTTGAACATTCCTAATGTGAAAATCCAAAATCTGAAATCCTTTAAGATCCCAAGCTTTTCGAGCTTCTTGTCCAGTGCTCAAAAGTTTCAGAATTTGGAGCATTTTCGGTTTTCAGATTAGATAGGCTCAACCTATAAAGTCTAGGCAAATATTCCAAAATCCAAAAAAACTCCAGAGTCTGAAACATTACAGTGGTAAGCATTTTTTGGATAAGAGTTCCCAACATGTAAATGTATTTAAGCCTATGAAGTTTCTTCTGAACATCATTCTGGCTGCATTTCCCTGCCTCCAAACAGTTATTTGGGCTTATTTTTTATTGCTTTCTGATTTTTTGTTGTATTATTTTTTTCATTTATATTTATTTTTAAAATTTGCTCAATTAGTTATGCATGAGAGTAGAATACATTTTGACATATTATACACAAATGGAGCACAACTTCTCATTCCTCTGGCTGTACATGGTTCAGTTCCTTTTAACACTTTTTGCCCTGAATTCAGTTTTGAATAAATAGCTATTCCTACTTTCTTTTTTTTTTTTTTTTTTTTTTGCATTTGCCAGGAATCTATTTTACTAACCTGAACTACTTTAAGAAAAAAAAAAAAAAAAAGCTCAAACAAAATCACATTTTACATATTGTTCTGTGTAGGTCTCCGTTTAGTGTATGCAACTAGATTTTGGGGAAATGTTGGAGAGGACGATTTTCCAAAGTAAAATTCCACATAAGACAGGGCTCATTTTATCTGATACTCAGTGTTCAGATCTCTACGCCAGTGCCGCTTTTAATTACACGTTCACTGCCT